TGTTAATTTTTTTATATATATATTTAATGAATTACTATATTTAATGGTAGTATGAACTGTATGATTATTGATTGAGTGAACCTCAAAACAAGTCATCAACCTTTAATATATTTCCACTCTAGGTTATCAATTAAATTTATTTGTAACACAGGTTACCTTATTAAAGTTTTAATCCATTTCAGATTATTCTGTTAATTTTGACCGTTAAATAGTGACGGAAATCCATTTTTCACATGTTTTTGGGTTCAGGGGTATTTTTGTCATTTTTTTATTTTTTTATTTTTTAATCTTTTAATTTTTTTTTTTACAATTCTTCTTCTTATACTTCCTAACTTGTATACACTGGTAGTATAATTCTAAATTTTAAAAATTTATTTTCCTTTTGTATTTTAACTTCTAGATTATAAATTTTTTTTAAAAATTTAAGAAATGAAGAAGAAAAATTCGAGTTAAAGTAAACATGAAAATTAATAATTTATCATTTTAAACAAAAATAAAAACTAAAAGAATTAGCTAAGACAAGTTGTTTCTTCTAGGTTATTAAATTTTTTTCAACTCGATTGAATTATTTAATTATTAATTTTCACGCTTCTTATTCCTTTTTTTATAATCTAGAAGTTAAGATACAAATGACAAACAAATTAATTTTTGAAAATTAATTTGTCATTTGTATATTAACTTGTAGATTATTAAAAAAAAAGGAATAAGAAACGTGAAAATTAATAATTAAATAATTCAATCGAGTTGAAAAAAATTAAATAACCTAGAAGAAACAACTTGTCTTAGCTAATTATTTTAATTTTTCTTTTTGTTTAAAATGGTAAATTATTAATCTTCTTGTTTACTTTAACTCGAATTTTTCTTCTTCATTTCTTAAATTTTTGTTTAAAAAATTTATAATCTAGAAGTTAAAATACAAAAGGAAAGTAAATTTTTAAAATTTAGATTTATACTATCAGTATATACAAGTTAGGAAGTATAAGAAGAAGAATTGCAAAAAAAAATAAAAATTAAAAGATTAAAAAATAAAAAATAAAAAAATGACAAAAATACCCCTAAACCTAAAAACATGTGAAAAATGGATTTCCGTCACTATTTAACGGCCAAAATTAACAGAATAATCTGAAATGGATTAAAACTTTAGTAGGGTAACCTGTGTTACAAATAAATTTAATTGATGACCTAGAGTGAAAATATATTAAATGTTGATGACTTGTTTTGAGGTTCACTCTTATTGATTTGTTTGGTTTTTTTGGGGTCTACGGGTCTTGATTCATTTTTTTTTCTTTTTGCTGCTGGTTAGTTTGTTTATTTCTTTTTCTTTACGGGTAGTGATTTATTAGGGTTTTTTGGGGAGTTGAGTCAAGAACAAACCGCGATTTAAAAATGATGCTTCCCCTGAAGAAATTTTTTTGGATTATTTATTTATTTGGTTATGGTAGATTGGCAGTGATACAAAGTGATACAAAGTCAGTTATAATAATATTGGTAATTGATATTCACTTTTCTTTTCTTCTTTTTTTGTAGTAAAAAAATGGAGCCCAAGAAGAAAAATATAGTTGACATTGATGATGACGGTGATGATGATGACCTTGACGTGACCATTCCAGACCAACGGATCCAATCAAGTTGAAGCAACCGTACCAAAAGGTGGTAAGAAAAAAAGAAGGTTAACTTTTGATATATGGAAGTACTTTGATTTGCTTGAAGTGAAAGCTGGGGAGGAGTTGAAGTGTAAATGTAAAAAATGTGGGACAATCTACTCTGCTGAAAGTAAGTATGGTACTGAAAATCAAAAGAGGCACATAGAGAGATGTGTTAAAATGACAACCAAAGATAAGGGCCAATATCTTCTCTCCGCAGAACAAGGTGCACTACTTTCTACTCGAAACCCACTGTTTCAGCAAGAAAAATTTAGAGAATTATTGGTGCAAGCTATCATTAGACATAACTTACCATTTACTTTCGTTGAATATGAGGGCATTAGAGATTTGCTTAAGTATTTGGAACCGAAACTTGCACATATTAGTAGGAATACTGCTAGAATAAAAGAAGCATTCTTCTCAAATTGGTAGGCTCCGTGATGAGTTAAGTTCATGTCCTAGTCGAATTTGTTTAACTTCTGATACATGGAGTTCAATTGTCACTGATGGTTACTTGAGTTTGACTGCACATTATATTGATTGCGATTGGGTGTTGCATAAGAAACTTCTGAATTTTTCTTACATGCCTCTTCCTCATAATGGCGTATCTTTAGCTGAAAAGATTCACTGTTTAGCCATTGAATGGGGTATTGAGAAGAAATTGTTTTCAATCACTTTAGATAATGCATCTTCAAATGATGGTTGTGTTGAGATTCTTAGGTCTCAACTGAAACTGAAAAATGCTTTGGTGCATGATGGGGCCTTGTTTCATGTAAGATGTTGAGCACATATTGAATTTGATTGTACAAGACGGTCTCAAGGTAGTTGATGGTTCTGTTGAAAAGGTTAGGGAGTGTGTCAAATACATCAAGGGGTCTCAAACGAGGAAAGACATGTTTTTAAAATGCTGTGAGCAAACTTCTCTTGATAAGAAAAAAATCTTTGGTTCAAGATGTGCCTACAAGATGGAATTCCACATATAGGATGCTTTCATGTGCAATTTATTATCGGCTTGCCTTCTGTCAATTGCATTTAAGTGACTCCAACTTCAAGAGTTGTCTAAGTTTTGAAGAATGGAAGAGAATTGAAACTATTTGCGGTTTCCTTGAAGTATTTTATGATGCAACCAATGCTTTTTCAGGGTCTCTTTACCCCACAGCTAATTTGTATTTCCCTCAAGTGTTTCTTGTGCAATTAAAATTGGTGGAGGCATGCACAAGCTCATATGAGTTTATACGAGACATGGGCAATAAAATGTTTGAAAAGTTCAACAAATATTGATGTGATTTCAATCTATTGTTGATTGTGGCTGTGGTGTTTAATCCTCGATATAAGTATAATATTCTTGAGTTCAACTATAATAAGCTCTATGGTCCTAACTCTGCACAATTAGCCAAAGTGAAGAGCACAGTTGAAGGTCTTTTTGATGAGCATTTAGCTCAGGGGATGGCTTCATCTTCTTCAAGTTCTCAAGTTATAAATGAAGTGCGTATTGCCAGAGCTGCAGAAGAAGAAGGCCAACAATCTAAGGATGTTTGGAAGGTATACAAATTTACATTGGTCATCTTATTTCTTTTATTTCGTCAATATACATTTATATTATAATTGATTTTATCATGAATTTTTCTGTTTTGATGATATGGTAGGAGTTCGACCAGTTTGATAGTGTCGAATCTTCATCTTTTTCAAAAAAGAAAGAGCCAATTGGAGTTGTATTTAGATGAGCCAAGCCTGAAAGAACTTCAGATATTCAAGTTCTTGATTATTGGAAAGCCCATGCATATCGTTACCCAGATTTAGCTAGATTGGCTAGGGATGTTTTATGTGTTCCTGTGTCAACTATTGCTTCAGAATCAACCTTTAGTATTGGTAGAAGAATTCTTGATCAGTATCGCAGTTCATTGACCTCCAATATTGTTGAATCACTGATATGTAGTAGGAATTAGCTATTTGGAGATGAAGGTAACATTCTTTGGCTATTATAAAAAATTTGTTGCAATGTCATCAATTTATAATTTTATTTTGTTGTTTTAGGATTAGGACTTCCATCTTTGGATGGTGTTATTGAAGATGTCATGGCTCTTAACATCAACAAGGAAGGTGTTGAAATTGATTGATACTCTAATGATTTTATCGGTAAGCATATGCCTCTAATATTTTAGCTAGTCTTCGTAATTTCATTTGATTGGTTATATTAACATATATATATATATATATTTATTTATTTAAGAGGTTTTCTCATGTTTGGAACTCTTTGTGATATTGCAGGTTTGTTATCAAAGGAGAATGTTTCGGATTTCGGTTGAGAATTGTTGAAGAATGTTATTGGTTTATCAAATAGAAAAAAGGCATTGATGGAAAAAAATAATGATTAAAGCTCATCCTTGGACAATTATAAAGTAGCAAGAAAACAATAAATGTGCATAGATATATGAAAAAATAGCAACAGAGATTTAGTTTTCAGAACCTAATGGGTACACTATGATATTTTTTATTTGTCTTTTGGGTTCCAGGATGAATTATAATCATCCTGGTGTAATTTCTATTTTGTTCCAATATGTAGTTACTCTTGGAAGACATTACAAAAAATTCACAACTAACCAATTCACAACAGTTTATATAACTGTAACATTAAAGGCGCCCGGACTTCTGCCCGGGCCAAACATCTAGTTTGTTATTACAGTGAAAATAATGTTTTGTTGGGTCCAGATGATTTTGGTGGATCCGAGGCTTGACGTGATGGAGAAATTGATGGTCACAAAATTCATTGAGACAATTGGAAAGGAATCAGTTTTCTTGTGGATGGAAGATACAATTGAGGCATGCAGATATTGATGTGCAACTATTGGTGACGGAAAAATAAATATTTCAGTAATTTAATTTTGTTAGCGGTTCCTTTTACTGAATGTATAGCTCAACTATTGGCAAATGCAGCAGCCCAAGCGTGTTTGAAAAGTTTTCTAAATATCTAAAAATGTAAAATTGTACATCAAAAGAAGAAAATAAAATTAATATGAACTAGCCAAAAACGAGTTGGGGAGATTTGTAAATTTTAAGATGTAAAAATGTGTACCAAGAAGATAAATATGGCTTGGGATTGATTCTACGGGTCGATCCCATTGCTTCATCAAATTCAAAAGTTCCGAGTTAGAAGAGATTATGCATTTTGGAAACCGGAAGTTTCCCTCCCCTTGACCAAGTGTGATGGAATTTGCTAATGTTCCCCATTTTGTAGCTTGACCAAGATTGTGTCAGCTTACCTAGTCAAATTCCTACATAGTACACATGTGATTTTTATTCATATATTTCATACATTAAAAAACATCTCTTTAAATTCCTTCATTTTTTTTTACTCTTCTATTTATACTTTACTACTCTCCATAGAGGTCTCAAATTTGTAATCTGTCTGTCAAGTTAAAGCAAAAAAATTCTAGCTAGATTAGAGCATCGTATTACATTATACATCTACCATTCCATCCTTTCTTTCTTTTCCACTTATTATCTTTCTCACATACATACACTGCAAATTCAAAGATGGCAACTAGAGGTGAGATTTTCTTAGAAATACTGATTGCCATCCTTCTCCCACCTCTTGGAGTTTGCCTTAGAGACGGCTGCTGCAGTGTAAGTCATATTCTCAGTGTTCTAAAATGATTATTCAGTTGAGATTTGTAGTTTAAGTACAAATTGTCGCAAGAATTCTCCTGCTCACAATATGAAATTGGATTTAAATGGGATTTTGAGGTGAATTCATTCTTTTTTTTTTTCCCAAATTAATGATTTTGATGTTGATGTTTTTACAGTGCGAGTTCCTCATATGCTTGATACTGACGCTCTTAGGATACGTTCCCGGAATAATATACGCCGTCTATGCCATCGTGGTTCGCGGTGGTGGCAGACTCGACGATGAAAGGCGTCCTCTCACCGCCTGATTTTTTTTTTTTTCATGTGGTCTGCCAAATTAATGAATTTAGATTTCTTCGTTTGATCTTTGTTTCTCTAGTTTGAGATTTTTCGAGTGTACACACTTTTCAATTTGTTTTACTCCATCCGTCCCATAATTATTGTCCAGTTTGGGTTTTTATTTCTAGTTCAATTTGTACTAAAAATAAAATTTTAAACTTGACAATAATTTTGGGACAGAGGGAGTAATATTTGTGGCAAATAGGATGTAGGGGTCACCGTATTTTGTGACATTTTTCTTTTATGACAATAATGGTTGGGAATAACTAGTCATTTTTTTCTTAGTAGGTCAGCTAGAATGATACCGGCTTTGATTCTCGCAAATGAACTGCTCATCTCTTTGGTTAGACTTCTAGTTCGTTAACCATTTCCAAATTCTTGAATCACTTTTAGCCCTTAATTTGGATAAGTCATATGGCTGATGTGAACAAGTATTTAATGGTCCGACCAAGCTTAATTACGATACTAAAACACACTCTACAAAACGTCTAAAAAAGCATTGCACGTGGATTGTTGTCCACTCATCCCATGCTTGATGTCAATAATTTTACGATAAAATTAGTTATTATTATCAACAGTAGAAAAAGAAATTAGGTGAAATTATCCCATTGTGTGATTTAATCAACAGTTATATGATCATTTATATAATACTAGGAGTATTGAAAAAAAAAGAAAAAAAAATCGAATTTGTGATTAGCTATGGCAAGATTGGACTGTGGAGTGTTTACATTTTCTATAAATTAAATTTTGCAGTAAATTTTATGACATTGTGTTTTGCCATTATTGGCCAAGCTAGGGGAAAAATGACTTATATATATATCAAAAAACTGAAGAAGAACAAAATAGATCTAGGGTTTCAATTGTCGCCAAAACTAATTTTTTCGCGCTTTAAAAACGCGAAAATTGACAAAATCGCGTTCTGAAAACGCTGAAATAACATTTTCGCGTTTTAGAAACGCTAAAACTAGGATATCCTAATTAATTTAACTTAATTATAATTAATTAACGGTATAAAAATTAATTAAATAAGGTTTCGCGTTTTCAAAGTGCGAAAAAAATAAAAAAATATTTTATTTAAATAAAAAAAGAAAATAGTTATAAAAATTTGATTAATTTGCCTAGTTTTAAAATTTGTAGGCAAATTTACTTCGAAAAATTATTAAACTTTAATAATAAAATTAAAGGAAAATTTCAAAATTATAATTGATAATCATTAAATTTTGAATAGAGCTATAAAGAGAAAAATTATTAAGAGGAAAATTATATTGATAATTTTAATTATATTGATAATTTTAATAATAGGAAAATTAAATTTTGAATATGAATATAATATTATAATTGATACTCATTAAATTAAATAGGGCTATACTAAATATAAATTATTAAAATTATGAAATAATTATTATAATTTATAAATTTTTAAAAAATTATAAAAAAATTTAATCATTATTTTATAAAAAAAAACCACAAATACGCTAGAAAGTATGAATTTAAAAGCATGAATTTAAAAAAAAAAAAGATTAAATGATTGCCAAATAACAACTTACCTCGATATATAGCCTAGAAAATGCAAAAAATCGACGCCGAAACTCGCTGTCAACTTCTTGATGTTGTTTCACTGGTTTCAATGGATTCCGACGGCAGACCGGGTAAGAAAACAAGGAAGCGAAATGCGAATTTGAGAATTTAACCCACAAACAATTCGCGTTTCAGAAATGCAAAATTTTTTTAACCCACCAAACATTCGCATTTCTGAAATGCAAATTTTATTTAACCCGCAAACATTTCGCGTTTCGGAAACGCGAAATGTATTTTAACCCGCTAAAATTTCGCGTTTCTGAAACGCGAATAATTTGACTCACCAGAATTTTGACACGTGGCAGAATCTGGTGAGTCATGTACAATATAACGTTTCTAAAACGCGATTCAAATGTTTCCGTTCTCATTAAACTTTTTAATCGCATTTTAAAATTTCTCATTTTCGGTGTTTTAGCAATCTATTGATAATCGCAAAATTAAATTATAGTACATTACATTACTATTAAATTTAGACAACTAATTTTATCATACAAACACAAACCGAATAAACAAATCACTAATTTTGTTATATAAACACAAACCGAATAATAACTAACACAAACTGAATCATCCTTTAGCATTTATCACACAAATATCCAAACCAACACACTAACACAAATAGAAACGCAAACAGAATCATCCTCTGAGATTTATTACAGGAACGTTCAAAACAACACACCAACACACACACTAACAGAATCACCACTACGCATCATCAGAATCATCAGAATTGATCTTAGGCCTACCACGAATTCCATATGGATCATAAAGTTTATCTATAGCGGTCCTATCAGCGGGTGGATGAGAAAATGGGCATTCCACAGTATCATGATCTAAACTTCCACATCGTGCGCAAACTGTCGCATATGGGCATGCCCTGGCATTATGGCCCTGTAGTTTACATAAACTGCAAGTTTGGAGTCTTCGCTGGCCAGATTTGCTTGTATAATCCATTACACCTTTTTTTCGATTCACACGCTTCCGACCCCGCCCAGCATGGTGGACAAGTTTAGTGTCATCTGGCCTGATCTGGCACGTTGCCTTTGGCCATGGTTCCATGATTGGGTTAAATTCTCTAGAAAACTGATGGTACCATCGCTTCGTAGTGTAACATGGATCAAAAAGTGGGAAGGGGTCGTCACCTAGCTCACGGGCAACTCGAAATTCATGGGAACAAGGAAATCTGGTAGTCTGCAACCCCCCGCAAGTGCACTCTCGATCTGCATAGAGCACAACTTGCTTCTCCTCAGCTTTCCATGGTTGATTATCAGGTGCTATTTTAACCACTTCGTACTTCTGGTTTCTCTTGCTAAATCGGTTTACCTGTTGCCTCATTGATTTCTTCCGGGCCTCTTCATACAGTTTCATGGACTTAGGAGCTAAAACAGTCTGACATGTCTGGATCATATCAATGTTTGCCTGAAACAGATTGTTGCTTTTCTGAAAGGATGCTAGGATCAAAGCTGTGATCGGGAAGAATCTAGCACCTTTTAGAACATTATTGAAACTCTCTAAAATGTTGGTGGTCATTTCTCCCCAACGATGCCCTCCATCGTAAAAACATGTCCATTTCTCAACACCCAACTTCTAAAGCCAACGAGCTGCCTTGTCATTTTTTTCTTCTAATTTCTGCCACTCTGCCACATACTTTGTCTTTTGCGTCGCTGAACCAATCATTTGACAGTTGCCTCCCAGATTCTCCTTTCGAAAATGCCCAACCAACTTTGCTTTAACATGCTCTAGACAATACCGGTGGATTCCCATCTCTGGATATTTTTACAACAAGATGTCAATGGCAGTAAGGATATCCTGATTTCGATCAGAGATAATACAGGTCTTCTTATCCTGTAGAACAAACTTTTTCAAATACTTCAAGAACCATTTCCAGCTGTATATGATCTCTTCGTCTACAAGAGCAAACGCGATGGGAACAATTGTGCCATTTGCGCACTTCACGCATGCCACAATTAGTTTTCCTTTGTAGGATCCTCGAAGGTGGGTGGCATCGATGGTTATTAGTGGTCAGCAAGCATGAAATAATTGTATAGATGGCCCAAATGCCCAGAATACATACCTACATACAAACCTTTGCGAGCTTCCTAAATTTTTCTTAAACTTGAATCACACATAGGTGTCCGGGTTTGACATGATCAATGCATCAAGGAAGCTGAGAAGTTGTTGAAAATTACTTTTCCATGTACCATACAGAGCCTCAAGTGCTTTTCTTCTTCCATGCCATGCCTTTTTGTAGCTACATTCGACTTGGTACCTTTTGAAAACTTCTATTTGAATTTGGGCAACTGCAAAATCTGGATGTTTTCGCATATTTTGGGCAACCAGTCTAGCAATCATAGAAGACGTCATGTTTCGGGACTCGTTTCTCTTGTTTGCCCCAAGACAGTTGTGGGAATCGGACCATACCACCATTTTTCAAGTATTGGAAGCCTTCTGCAGCGAAACTCGTGCCTTCCACAGGCAATCATAGCCGTGAAGATGCTCTTTCGGATATTTGGGCCCACAGGTCTACCATTCGACATACCATGTTCGTTTGGAGCTAGTTTTCACCCGGAAAGTCCGACCATGTCGCAAGTTCCATTCTCCCACTGTCGCCTGTGCCTCAAGCTTGTTGGTAAAATGTACATCAAGGTCAACCGTCATCGCATTGCCGTCCCATATTTTTATCCCATCAGAATCTTCTTCCTTTAAATTCTTGTCACATCCACTGATGTCGTCGAAAACATATGGTACTGAAGAAAATGAATCAAAATCAGTGTCACATTTGAGTCTTCATGCGATGGGATGTACTCATCGTCACTGCTTTCGACACCCCCGCCATCTGCATCTTCATCTTCATCTTCATCTCCATCTTCATTGTCTTCAACTGTTCTACCACCACTAGTGCCGGCACCAGTATCCTGGTTAGATGTATTTGCATAAACATGGCCTATTCTCTCAACATTTTCAGGGTACAATTCTGGCCATTTATCAGCACAAAGATAAAGGAACCGTACAGTATTACCATCATTAATGTGCACACGAGACCTTTTCCCTGACCTCTCTGTCCATACCAAAGAAAAATCAATATACAACACTTCTCTATCAACTTCCATCACACCACATACCTTATCAACAAGTTCCGAGAAATCTAACATACCATCAATAATAAGATAACCGTCCGGCGCATCCCGCTGTATCGTGATAGTCCCATCAGGTTCAGTTGTATAAGTAGTATTCCAGTATACTTTCAGACGAACTGTCTCCGCGAAAGACATTTACGGTCTGCAAAATCAATTCCTACGAAATCAGAACACTAGATTCAACATAAATTCATTTTGAATTTTAGTTTTACCGAAATAGTATTTACCCCGTTTACAGATTTAATAATTTCAAAAGAACAACTATACGCTTGAATTTAATAATTCATTTCTACGTTAAAAATATTTTAAAAACTCAATCTGGGTATTATAAACTTTTTAAGAAACTAATATACAATAAATTTCAAGAATCATCTAATTTAACAACAGCACACACAATCTTCGATGGTATTTTACAAATTTTACAATCAAAGAATTTAAATTAATATTAAATCTAAACCTTGTGCCCGAATTAAATAATTTATTCTTATGCTAAAAATATTCAAAAATTCAATATCAATATTATTATTTTATTTTATTTTACAGAAATCGATATATAATAATTTACAAAGCTCATCTAATTTAACATTCTATTAACTAATATTTCTTTCAATTCACTTTATCAGCCTAATGAAAAATTTACCGTTAATTGAATAAATCACAATTATTTATTAACTAATAATAAATCATCCTATGCTCACAATAAGCATAAACAAGTACATGTTTTCTATAACGAAAAAAAATTACATGAATGTTGAAACTTTGGGTTTGAAATAGACTTCAGGACTCAA